CAAAGGTAACAGTCGGTGAAAGAATAATATAATAAAACCGCGGAGATAAGGTACGGACGTACATGACAGTGTCCTAGTCCATCCAGCTACTTCAGAGAGATAGTGGACCAAATTACGAAGTTGGGTCGTCTTCCCACTTCCACTGTTACCCGTCAGTACAATGCACTGATTCTGTCCCGTCATTTGTAGGTTCCTAAACGGTATAAAATGAGGTAAAGATGGGCTACCAGAATCTATGATTTTACAGACTTCACCGAAATATAGCTGAAAACCATGAAAAAAGGAAGGATCCATCTCAAATCTACAGTAATCCAGAGAGGTACCTATATACTTGTTGCGCAGTAGCATACACATGAGCAGGCATCTGACCACGTCTGCAGCCTTTAAATAACGACACCAGCCGGTCCTGACCAACGGCTCCTTCTTCAGCTGATGCTACACATAGAATACTAGTCAGGCCAGCATTCGTATAGAGGAGATTGCATCCATGCCTTAATTACATGTGAAAAAAAGTACGAATGAAATTGAAATTATAAAAAAATACCTCTGTCTCAGCAAATGCACGGTGCTTGTCTCATTTAGATAACGTAACGCTGCTACATCTCCTACTCGATCTAGCTGGGTGGGATTCATTCGATCAATATCGGTCGAATCCACAGTCATCTCACGTCCAGCAACCTTTACCAGCGCTCTACCATCTGGTAAGTGTTCTAACAGTCGTACCATGGTGTAGCCACCTTTATGTATAAGCCAATAACGTTGATCTTCAGGAATGTCCTATAAGGGGAATTAAAGGCATTAAAATAATTTAATATATAATTATATAATAATATAATAAGATACTATGCCAATAAAAATTATAGCTTTTCAATTTCAAAAAGTTCTCTACCTCGTGGAGATTCGTGTTGATATGTCCAAGCATCAGCTGATCACCATTGTCTCTAACACCGCTTTGCCGATGTTTTCTATCACAGAATTCGGCTAATTCAGGAACTGATTTGACTTCCAGAACTAGAAAAAAAATTAACATCCAAATCGATCAAGAAG